TTTGCGGGGGGAGAGATTCTGTAAATGCCTCCTTTGAACTGATGAGTGCAGGTCTAAGCTCATTCAGCTCCAGAGAATTTGCTGGGGAGATGGCCCATATAAATACCAGGAAAGACTTCTTTACCATACTCAGTCAACCACAATGGACAACCTGTAGGAAATCAGACCTTGTTAGCTCTGGTGCTCACGATTTAAGAGGAGCTAAAAATTATCTGGCTGAAAATAATCGCCACTAGGCCTGATTGAAAGGTTAGGCGTGCTTTAGGCTGGGAAGGGCCCTCGCCACTCAGAACAGCTTGAATTGTCACACTGGTATTTCATTTTCCATCTTCCCCCTCCACAGATTTGCAGTATGCATGAATGAACTGGAAAGTGGGAGAGGTATATATTCATATACATATATATTCACTTCCTGTGGTTTGTTGTACTTCTTCTTCCTCCTCTGTATAACAGGGGAAAAAAATTGAAGAGGTATTAAGATTCTGGGGACAAAATGTTCTGACTTGAAGGGTTCAAAGGTACTGCATAATGAAACAGGTCACAAGTAGGGTAGAAAGAAAAGAATGACAGGCATGCCCCTTATTTGAAACTGGTTTAGGAACAAAAGCAGCAGGTGTCCTCTGAATGTGGAAATCGGTGGTAAAACCAGGCAGTTTGTAGCTATGCTTTTTAATTCAAGAATATGTTAACAAATCGTGTAGTTGTGAGTATGCATGTGTAAAATACAGAGTAAAAACATGTTTCTTAGATTCATGATTGTAGATCATAAGCATATTCCACTGAAATATTTTCTATAACCCACTATGCATTTCTGCAAACATGTCCATGATGCCTGTTACGAAGTCTTCCATAAATCCAACATTACCGTAGTGTGTCAGCCCCTTTTCTCTTCTACCCTTGCTGCATTTTTATTTAGTTCTTAAGGTACCCTCGGGAAATTATGCTTTATTTTTCCCTATTTCCTACTCCAATTCTCAGTATTCAAAGGAAAAAATCAGAAATGCAGCTGAACAACTGGTTCATTTTGCTAAACATCAAGTATTAACGAATAAAATTTCCAGTTATTTAAGCGTATATTAATAACTTGAGAACGTCTGTTTGCATCTAGCTTTTCCTGGTATCTAGGCTATCCTGGTATCTAGGCTATCTCTGAAGTCTAATGGCTCTGTTGCCTTCTGTCTCCCTTAATGCCCCTGCTCCTGCTCTCTCCAAGGTGCCAGCACTTCTTCTGTAATTCTGTGGCCTTCCTCCAGCTGTTTAGAAGATTTTTGCTCTTTCCTTTTTTTAATTGTGGATCTCACAGATGTTTCCCTGGATTTCTTCTTTTTTCCTCTGTTCTCGCTGCCTCTTTTTTTTCTCATCTTACAATTAGATCTGCCTGTCGGCCACTTTCCATCTCAATTTAGAGTTTTAGGACTTCATGGCAATTTTTATATCCTTCTGGATGTTTCTGTCTTTAAACTAGTTTGATGCAAGAGCTGGATAAATCTTCTTTTACATCCTTACTTGTTATTCCTCCCCAACTCAGAAATCCACACTTTCCTGTCTTTCAGTGGAAGTTCTTTTTTTTAGTTGGTTTTGTCTCTTTGCTTGTCTTCACCCATTGGATTTTGTCAATTTTGGCATCCATTTCCTGTAAGATCTGCCCTTCCTCTATCTCCCATTTCCAAGTGTTTATTGTGTCTCATGCATGGTACTGCAATTACCTTCATTCTACTAATAAACATAACCTTCAGAATAAATTATATTACATTGGTAATGACACTTAAGACTGGTGGAAGTATTGAGCAGGGGTGGTCAGACAATTTTTAATCATATTTTTTTAAACTAGTCTTTTCATAATTCATGCATTCGCCAACCCAGAGAAGAAACTGGCTCTTCTGAACTCTTTTTTTTTTTTTCTTGATTCCTGTCCTTTGGCCTTCCTTTGTTTTTCCTGTAGAATTGCTGCTAGTAGGATGTACTTTCTGAGGAGATGGTGCATACCGCTCTGTTGACGGTGGAGGTTTTGGTGACCAGAAATAGTTACCTAAGCTGTCTCTGGGTAGTCTGGTGGGTGAGCAGCCCAGTCATGAGACTCTGGCTTGATGAATGCATGAATTGTGAGACTGGTGATTTTACAGGTCAGACAAACTTCCCCTGCTACCCTGCTCACAATTACCATCCAGTACTCAGTGTTGCTAAACTTAGTGCAGCTATTTATAGCAATTAATTCAGCATGTAATTTCTCACATGAAGGCCTCAATCAGTAAATCCATCGAGAAGCATGGTGAAGCAGACAGCTGTTATTCAGTTGTGATAGCTTCTATGATACAGTATTAAAGCAGTGACTTGCATAGCTTGATAACTGTGCTGTGCTCTGAGTTTGCTTTTATAAATGCTGTCCTGAGCAAAGCTTTGCCTGGCTACAGTCTTAGCTGTGTTCATTTTTCTTCTCTTGCTGATGTTGTTTTACAGATCTTTAAGAACAATTGGCTTTGTAATTGTGGCCAATAGTTGCTGCTCAGTAATAAAGCATAGACTAAAGGAAACCTATAGGTATTAAAGTTTTCTTTAATATTGTCCTTACATAAAGTGGTCTTAGACTTTGGAGTCAATGAATGCTTAACATTTTAAGCAACTTTAACACTCTGTTGTTGGCTGCCCTTAAACTTAGAATGTTACTTGGGTTTGGACTGAAATCTTCTGAGACTAGCTTCTGGGCATAGGTGAATATTTTAGCAGTTTTTAAGTCAGACATTGAGGCAGGGATTTGATTTTATGAAGAATACATCCCTAGTGGTTTTCCTGTTTGTTTTCTTTTAAACAATGCTGTAACTTAAGCATTTGGGGAATTTAGTTTGGAACAGCCTGGGTTAAAAGAAACAGTAATAAATGTAATTTTGGTTTAATGAAATTTTGGGGTTGGGGATTTTTTTTTTTTCAGTGTTAATGCCATAGTAAAAATCCTATTTGCACTGGCATTCCACATCTGCAAGCAGAAACATGCCTACATGGTTTATTTCAGTTTTATGCATATCAGCAGGCTGAAATGATTGGTTTGCATCAGTAGAGCACTTCTGTCCTTAAGGTTTGCATTAGTTCATCTGTACCCATGTTGAAATTATATATGTCTGTATGAAGAAAGGAGGCCTCAGCTGCAAATATGTAGAAGATACATGCTGTGAATGTGCACTTTATACACTCTGCACAGTTAACTTTATGATGTAATTACAGTTAAGATGTATAATTCTGGGGCAAGCACCCATATCCATTTTTCAGCAAGTTCCTTTAAACATTGGGGATTTGATTTGAGGTTTTGTGTACTTTATCTTTTTTTTTTTAGCAGAGAGGCCAATGAGGTTGTTTGGGTTCATTTTGTTTAAGGTATAGCACTCCTCCACGACTGAACAGGGAAGTTACGAGTGCAGTTAACCTTTATGTTCTCTAACTGTTGCGGCCCACAACTTTTTATTAGTAACATGCAATTGTTCTGCTCTGTTATGTAAAATACACAGTTTTTTTTCTTTTTTGTAATTTGCACATACCTAAAAATTCTGTTATTTTGACAGTACGTCCTCAGGCAACTTGACCTTCAGATTGCATACGACTGAGGGAAAGGCAAGTGTACTCTCCAGGGATGTAGAAGCAGACTGTAGGGGATGGTAGGAGGCGTAAGATACTGCTTCTGTGACTGGAACGAGTTTCAGCTTCAACTCTTTCCTCAGTGCCATAGGTTGAAGGGATCTGTGTATGTTGTGCAGGGAACATACTGACTGCCTTTTCTTCAAGCAGAGATTGCTAAAGCACTGACCATATACTTGGTGACCCTATAGCTGAAGAAAGCCTGAGCTTTAATGCAACTTTAATCTTGAATTTTTTGACTAAGGGATTTCAGCTTGCTTATCTGTTCTCTGTGTAAATGTATTGTATTTAGTATAAAATCCCACCTTGTTGTAGAGGATAGGAATCAGAGTTGCATTTCATGCCACAGGGGGATATCAAATGGACTGAACTTCTATTTCACTAGACTTTTGGTATTATTTTACCAGTTCTGTTTTGCAGATGGACTGTTCCAATAAAATTGGCATAGAAACTTGCATATTAAAGTAAACACTCTATATTCTGGGAAATTTCCCCTTCAGATGGTTTCCTCTCCCTTGTCTCATCTCACACTCTTTGTTTGAGATTCTATGGGAAAAATGAGCTCTGTCACTTTACCTCGTGGCATAATTGTTGTGTTAACCAGACCATTTACTCTTTGTCCATTAAGAATTATTCCAACGTAAACAATATAAACTTTAGCTCAGCTATAGTTTGCCTCCTGCAGACTTTTTTTTTTTTTTTTTTTTACCATTTAGTCCTGAAAATCTTTTGACGTCAGTTCTACAAGTATCTGATGCGTTATGAAGACCATGCAGTGTTTTCAGTGTATGTTTACAGAGAGCTTCTGCAGACTGTTGATTGGGTACTTCGCTGATATTTTCTTGTCTGTACATTACTCGCTGTAGGGTAGCTTTACTTAACTGTGGTTTTGAAAGCATGATTAATGTTTGAATTTCTTTGACCATTAGATATGACAGAGTCATCCTGTGATATATTTATGTCAAGAATTTTCTAAGCGCTAGAACTTTCCATTAACAGCAGGATCTTCGTTTGATTTGTTTAGGCGTCAAAATCTGGGAGCGGAGCATTAGCTTCATCCCAGTGAGAATAATTTCTATACATATAGTACAGCTGCACTGAAGGGGTTATATAAAACAAGCTGAAACTTTATGTAATTACAGTATTACATTTGCCTACTTCCACATTGCAAATAGTTTAAAAAACTGACAACAATGGAATTTCAAAACAACCTCCCTTCGTCATCTCCTCATGTGAAAGCTTCACAGCAACCACAGGACAAAATGCAACTTCAATGCTCAAGACAGAAGCAATTAGACTTGGCTAGACAATGAGAAAATCTCCGAACTATTTAAGCCATGAAAGCTGGAAAAACAGAACATTGTGTTTTCTTATAGGTTCGGGAACTGCAAACACGTTTGCAAAGTGTGCAGGCAACAGGCCCATCCAGCCCAAGTCGTCTCACTTCTGCCAATCGACCCATCAACCCCAGCACGGGAGAGCTGAGCACAAGCAGCAGTAGCAATGACATTCCCATAGCCAAGGTGAGCTCTTGTTTGTTGCAGTAACAAGTCTCAATACCTGGGAGAAGGAGGCTTGTTTTGCACAGCTGCTGTGCAAGCATGCGATTAATTGGGAGATATCTAGAATCCTCAGTGCATTTTTTGCAGTCCTAAGCAGGCCCATGAACCAGAGCTGCAGAAAGGAATTAAGTAATGATTGTAATTCTCTTGGTTACAACACGGGTGTCAATTTTACAGTAGTCTACTTTAGGTTTGCAAGTGTAGCAAGTGAACAAATGCATTTTGTGTAATCCTTATGGAGTGTGAGTTCCTGTGTAATCTGTGCAGCATTCTGACTTACAGATTGCTGAAAGAGTGAAGTTGTCAAAGACAAGATCAGAGTCTTCATCATCTGATAGACCTGTCTTGGGATCAGAAATCAGCAGCATAGGGGTAAGGACTAATAATTATGTGCGTGCATGATACTTTCTGAAGATGACACATGTTCCATTAAAAGCAGCATTGTTTTCTTACTAAATTGATATACAAGCTAACGGAAAATACTTGAAAAGTTATTTTGAGAAAAGTATTTCAACGGAGAATATTTCGCCCAGTGTTAAGATCTCATTTTCTCATAACTGGTGGCTAGAAATCATTATCTGAGTGACTTCAAGAGTGTAATTTTGAAGTAAATTCCTCCAAAATACTATTCTTCAAGAACAGACTGTTCAGTTGCATTTCACAACTTCCAGTCAACAGAGAACTGGGTTCTGCTTTGTAATGCCAATGAGAATCCATAACGCTGTTGTCACTGTGTGTTAATATTTGTTTTGCTGAAGAACTTAGCTCTGACCTTTTGCTAAGCTTTCAGGAAAGCAAATACTTGCGTATTAGGCTTTTTAAATGTATGATGAAATAGTGGGCTTCACCCTTTGATTAGTAGAATTTTAAATCAAAAACAGTTCCTTAAAGTGGAAACTTGTAAGTGTCCTATTTGATGTAAAATTCATAGTGAAAACTGAATGCCTTGAAGTGAGTGAATGCAAGCAAATGCAGCTCTCAATGCAGACAGCCTGTGAATGAATCCAGTGGTTGTCTATTCACAATGATCAATTGACTACCCTGTGCAGGTGTCTAGTACTGTGGCTGAACATTTGGCACATTCCCTCCAAGACTGCTCAAACATCCAGGAGATCTTCCAGACTCTGTATTCGCATGGATCTGCTATCTCTGAAAGTAAAATCCGAGAGTTTGAAGTGGAGACAGAGAGATTAAATAGGTAAGGTGAAAAGTTAGATATGCTCAAATGTGTTGTCTGCTGTTGGCTTTGTTAAAGTTACTACTTTTTTATGCTTTTTGAACATTTCTTGGTTCAATCCCAGCTCAAATGTGGCAGCTGCAGATAAATGTCGAATGTAGTTGATGAGAAGATTGGACTGTATGCTATGGATTCTTTCCATTAATATGGCAGTTTGGTCATGCATTATTAGATCAGCATGACACCTTCACCTGTGACAATTTGCACTGTAGAGTGTCCTTCTTTATGGCTGACCAAGTGGACGTGTCATCTTTTTTTCATAAGACACATCACCACTAGAAATAAGGATTCCCATAACTTATGCTCCATCATTCTAGAATTAGCTTGCTTTGTTTTGTCCTGAAGAAACAGAATTACTGCAATAACTGTATCAATGAATATACTGATGTTTGGTGGTGTGGCATATACACCAGTAAATACACTTCTGTCTGCAGAAGAAAGAGTGCAGCTTTCTGGTTGCAGTTAAAATACTGCTGGTGTAATCCTTCAATAAGCTCTGTCAAAACCAATGCTTCGTGTCCTCTTTGGCACGTTAAATCAAAACTGTGGATCAGGAACGTGAGAATCGTGTCTCAGCATGTTTCCTTCCAAGTTCCCTCTTCCCCACAACCATCTCAAATTTAGTCTGATCAGTACAATGTATCTTTTATTTGTAGCTCATGGGGTTTTGTGCTTTTTTTTCTTTTTTGCCTTTTTTTTCTTTTTTTCTGTGCACTGCACAATTACACCTTGACAACATGTATCCGTATGGGATGTGTCAAAGAAGATACAGGAGGTGAAGCGTCTGAGATTTCTAGCAGTGGGGAAAGTTGGGGGTTTATTCTGATCACTGAATAAATGATATACTAGCCCTTCTCATTCTTCTTGTGTTTGTTAAGAAGTCAGTGATTTTAAGAGTTCTGCATGGCACTGATTTCTTCATTAGCCACCTGTTCAAATTTTGAAATAATTTTCCTGTCTGGTTGTGGTGTATGTCCAACTCTTACAACCAGGCATAGTATATTGGTGTGTAGTGCAGTTATCAGCAGTGAGAATAAACAGTAATGCTCGTATTCTAAAGCCTCATTTTCAGACTCAGAGTTAATCTCATTGAGAAGAATATTGCAGTTAAGTTCTGGTATGAGCTTCTGTGTGACTATTGCCAGAACTTTTGGAGATTTCATTGCCTCATTGAAACTTCATTTGTATTTTGGAAGTTAACTCTCTAACCACAACCAAAATATTACTTCAAGTGAAACGGTTATTTTGGATGTTCCAAAGGAAGGGGGAGTTTATGCAGCTGCGTGATCCCTACAAGCATTCGCATATTG